AAAGGCAGCCAATGAGCAAGATCTGATTCACTGCCCGGATTAATCTATATGAATGGCTGTGGGATCCATTTGAAAGCAGCACTGAGAATTGGCCTATAAAAAGACAGCCTGATTTTTTGAGGAAGCTACTTTGGGAAATGAATGAGGACTTTACAATCTCCTTCAGCCATAAAAAAACATACACGTCTCATACTGCTGCTTGCCTATTTTAATTAAACCAATAATTAAATTTTAATGAAATGAAGGTTTTCCTGAAAAAGAGGCAGCAGTGACTGAGTAGTTTTCAGCTGAAGGAGGGAGCTGAAGTGGATGTATCAGGCCACTGGGCTTCCCTCCCCTAACAAGTGTTGGAGGAAATGCAAGGCAAAATGGCTTCATGTAATGAACTGCACAAGAAACACTTATGATAATGAAGTCAAGAGGCAGCTCTCCTTGGCTGTGCATTTTTATCCATCTTCTCCCAGAATAATGCTTATTCTCAAGGTCTTGGCTTATACCTTAGAGGCCACTGCTGCAAGAATTCCTTAGAGATGCCAATGCTGTCATAGCGGCTGCCCCAGGGACAAGTCCAGGAATAATCAGCGCTTGGCTCCATGTTGCAGGGAGGAAGTTGTAGGCACAAACCTCTGTGGCCACTCTTAGTTGAAAAATGTTCTTTGAGATAACTTTTATTTAGAAATGAATAAACCTCAGAATTTCACTGAGCTCATCTCCAGAGTAAGACAGGTTCACATACAAGCTCATGAAATGCTACCCAAAGGCCGAAAAGGTGCAGATGTTTGGATGAACGCTCAGAAGCAGTGATAAGGTGCTTGAAATGCACACAAATGTGCATGCAGCCACAGGCTCATTGACTTTAGATAGAAAAATGCAACTGAACAGATGATTCCTCTCTCCTCCCCAGATATGACCACCTTGTGCTTTTCTGTGGTGACACTGTTACCTTTATTCTCCTTCTGCCTCTGCCACTGATGCTCTGTGTGTCCTTGAGAGACTCCGCTTTGACTTAACAAAGTGTAAGCTGGATCAAAAATGATTGCCTGGCTCCCAGAGAGGGAGTTGTGAGAGCTGATGGATTAATATTTACTGCATTTTATACATGTCAAGAGCTATTGATAGGCACACCAGGGAACTTTCTGGGCACATCCAGTGCTAAAAGGAGGAGCTGCCACAGCTTGAATGGAAGGACTCATCTGGGGATTGTTAGCAATTATGCTGTGTTTGTAGAAACCAGCATTGACCTATGCAGAAGAGGCCTGCATTGCTAACGCCTCTGCACTGGAAGACATCACTGACATACTCAGAGATCACATGAAAGTAGTTTTAGATTAACTCTTCCATAGTTAAATTTACTTTGGAACAACGATGGGCACAATCCTGCCCTTTATGAGTTTGTGCACTCACCCTAAAAACTTACAAACTCATTGGTCTCTTTCAAAATGTGCTTTACAATAAGCAGAAATTCCAAAGGTAGTTTCTAGAGTTTTATTAAAAATTTGTGGCTGAGTAGAAGCGTGACATCCACTACGTTCCTCTGATGAGAAAAGGCTTTTCCATTCAATTCAACACGGCGTAGCATGGTGTATCTTTAGCTAATGTTCCCATTGCCTTCATGGATGTGGGAAACTGGACCAGTTCTTTTGAACTGTTTCTTTCCAGGAGAGTTTGCAGGAAGGTTGAGAGGTGGGATATATTTCTTAGTAGTGTAGAACAGACGAAAGTCAGAAGGACCTGTCCTTCTAAGAGACCATTTTCAATTGCTCCCAGAGCCAGATCTCCCAGGAACCCTCTGTGCTTTCCATCAGTCATAGCAAAATGTAGACAAATGCTGTCCCTCAGTCTTACAGCTTCTCTGTCTCTGAGATGATTTCCCTCCCTGCAGTGCAAATTTCCCTGCACTTCAAATTTCGTTGTATTCCTATTTACAGGACAACCATTCATCATTCAGGATGGAGAGAATTTTAATGATGCAGGGTTGTAAATAACTGCCCATTCTCAGTTCCAGCTGTGCTTCTCATGTAGCCCTCAGCACTGACAGTCTGCTTCCAAGGCCTCTGTAGCACTGACACATTTATTATGTCACAAACCAGCACTCAGGGTCAGTCATAGCAAAAACTTACTATGTATGCAGAGTCCAGCCTTGGAGAATTCAACTCCAGACTTAAGGAAAGCCAGGGGCAGCAGGATAGGAGTTCTCTTGCTTGTCGATGGAAGAACTAGGCACAAGTGCAAATTCCAAAACAGACTAAACTCACAAAAAAATAACCACTTCAAAAAAAACCCCGAACAAACAGCACTTGTCATTTTCTTTAACATTTCTGCCTCATAATGCAGGGATAACGAAGGAGTTTCCCTGGGAGTTTTTCTGTTCACTCCCGATTACGTTAGATTTAGGGAACAGTCACTCCTATGGCTTCTGATCAGCTGGATGTTTGGTAGAGAAAGTCATTCAGTATTGATCATTAAATACAATTAACAAAGTTCAGTAGCCTGTTGCTGAAAACATTGATTGCGTGGGATAAAGTGCTTGCAAACTTACAGGGGGTCACTGCTGTTACTGCTATGGTGAAGGTCAAGTTTAGACATCTAGTGATCAAATACAGATTCTCATTTCATTAGGTGCTCCCTGTCGCTCTGACTCTCTTGAACGTGTCCTTCAGCTGTTCCCTCTGACAAGCTGCTCTGTGTAGCACTAAATATGAGCTAACAGCATAGCATCACCAGTCCTCTGTTGTCTATGCAATCTCATGTTTCTACACTTCGCTCTTTCTTTACATTTTGTTTCCTTATGGGCATTTTTCACCCAACCCAGCATTTAAATGGACTGGAAGATGACTGTGATATTCATTCATTTTTGAAGCCTGTGCCGATCAGAGCAAAACAAGAGGAAGCAGGATGGGCTGAAAAGCTGAATAAGCGTCTACAAAAATTTAGATGGGGAATGTGTTTTGGAGTTAATTCTCTGTGTCCTGATATGGTATCACCTACAACAGCCCAGTTTCCATGTTTTTCTCCACTTGCTGGTCTTGTTAATGTGTAACCCACCAGATTGCTCATTTGGTTTGAGTTCTCTCCTTTTTCTTTGGTTGTTTTTGCTACTTTTTTTTTTTCCCCTGGTGCCTTTGCATACTGGATACTGCTATGTTTGTCAGAGATGCTAAATGTGAGACAAACAGAAGAGACAGATATGCCACAGTTTGTTCTGCTAATGGGAACACTTTGTGTACTGCTGCGTCTAGCTGCCATAAAGTCCGTTTCCTTAAACATTCAACAAAACAGATTCTTCCCTGTCTTGCGCTTATGTCTGTACTCACACTTTTGCAGTGTGGGTGCCACATAAAACTAAATTAGCATAGAAATATTTTAAGGCAGGCAAAACTGATGACACAAGTGACAAAGTAGAGGAGAACTAGGTTGCCGGGGTTGGAAAAATCATTGTTTCCCTTTATGAGCAATTGAAAAGCTTGATACAGGTATGTCTGCAGGAAAATAGAGAGGGCATTTTGTCCAGTACATTTTGTCCAGAACAGGCCTTGCACTGTTGCCTGGAGACTTAAAAAATGCAATTAAGGCATCAGTGCCGTTAACTATTGCTTAATTATTTCATCCTCCTCCCTTGCTTCTTCAACGCATCCCTGCTGTTGTCCTTCAAAATGATGCTGGCATGATAGGATACTTGATGGGAGGTAGGATAGTCAGCCCCCACTGTGTGTGCAATGCGCAGCAAGAGGGTTCAAAGTGGGAACATCTGACAGCAGTCAAATGGTTAAATGCATCTTTCTCAAGATCAGCTGTGTATGCGTGTTTAATATATGGCTGGCTTTTCATGAACTAGATTTAAATAAGAGGCCAACAAAGAATATTTCAGAATATTTGACAATCTGTCAGGGTATGAGAAGCATACATTCTACCTGACAAATGAAAGCTTTTATTCTTAGATGAAGGAAAGGACAGCATGGCACAAAGCCAGCATGTTTCCTCTCCTGGTTTATGAAACAATTCAAGACAAAATTGTTCAACTGCTCAGAGTTTGATTTGACAAAACATTGTCCATTGTTATTCCAAAGGAGATCCAAGGCATGCAGAGGTCATGTGAAATCTGTTTGAGCCTAGCCAGCAAATGCAGTGTGTTTTCAAGCCTGGGTTAACATATTATTATGGCAGATCTCTTTATTTGATTCTATTAATGCCTTTACAAATGGTGTAGGCTTTAGTGATCTGGAAATAAAGAAGTGAGAGCATGCCTTTCTACAGGACCATGCCTCTCAGCATCTGCCAGAAAGGACAGTGACACAAGAAAATATCCTGCATCACGTACTGACACAGAAGACAGCATAGCCACTGTAGCCTCTGATACACCATCCTTATGTCCTGTACATCCTATATCCTTGGTCATCATGCTGCTGCAAAAATGAACTGCTGCATGGCCCCAGATGATGCTCCCAGACCCTGCCACTGTGCAGGAAAAAAATGAAAGGTGGGATGGCAGGGATGTCTCCAGAGGAGCAAAACTCTGATTAAGCCTGCTGTCCCCTTGTCTGCTGCAGGCACCATGTACAGTACCAGCCTCATATTAAACCAGTGTAAGACCAGCAATTTCCAGTGGTCAGTTTCTGACCCAGAAGATATTAACTTGCCATCCAGGGGCTGCAGAAGGTTTGGGCAGCTTCCAAAAGCATCTGAAAATGAATTTTCACATCACAACTTGTGTTTTCATTCCCATTTTAACCATTTCAGTGCTGTAGAAGAGTGATTATTTCATGTGGGGGGGGGGGGGGGGGGTTGTTATTCAGAGAGGTAAACCTCTGCGTAGGCATTTATAAACAGAATATCATCTCCGCATGTATATTGCTCTGGTGATCACTTATGATAAGCATTGTGCTTGAACAAAAGGCAGTGAAAATGAAGGGTTGTTAGAGAAAAGAGCATCCAAATAATACTGCTACTGAGAAAAACCCAGCAATATCTCCTCATTAAGATACATACACATTTCTTGGCTATGTAATTTTGACAGGAGAGCTCATTTCTATATTTAATGTAAATGAAGCATGGACAGTTAACTGGGTATTTTACACCATGATATTTCAATTGTGTTTCATAAAACTCATGCTGGCCTTGGAATGAACAATTTATCCAATTAGGGTTTCTTTTTTCCATTTTTAATGGAATCTGGCTACTCTCTAATCTGTCTCACTGGTTTAAAAATTGAAATAATCCTATTAGAAACCAGGTGTGCAATGTGAATGCAAAATTGGCATCATTTTTATGAGAATCAGGGAAAAAACATCCTCAGGTTATTCACAGGTTTCCACGCTGATTTTTGTTATTTTGGCTTTATTTAACGCTCATATCTAAAAACTGAATGATGTCTGCATTTCTCTGGTGTAGACTGTAGGTCAGAAATGTGAAGTTTGGCTGTGGCTGCTCACCTTTTTTCTGGAGGTATTGATACCGGTCCTACAGTTGCTGTATTTAAGTCTTCCCTGGGCTAATTTTTATTTATCCTGTGAATTACTTTCAAATGCAATTCAGTGTTACATGAGTAACAACAGGCTGAATTCTGGTTTGGAATCCAAAGAAATGTGAAAATAATGCGGGGAATTTATATTTTGTATGGGATTCCCACTTTTAATTTACGAATCAATAATATTACAGTTGCTGACTATCTGACAGAGGGCTTCTGTCTTCCTCTCATCACTTCATTCACAAGGAAAACGTCCAGATTCTCTCATGCAGGGATATTTTTAACCTTTTATCATTCGAATGCAGTGTCATAGTTTAAAACATTTTTAATTTTGGTGTGATGCTTTTGAATGAGGGTTTGCATATTTTATAGCTTTACAACGCGTCAACAAGGAAAACTTCAAAATTGCCTTTTACAGGCAGGGGAAATGTAGGTTTAGGTATAGGAACAAGTTTCTGTGGTTAGAATACTACTTAGCGCCAGCTGATCCATGTTAATGACTTCTGCATATGCTCATAAAATGGAATAATTGGACTGAGTGCTCTTTTAATGCAGGTAAAACCATCCTGCGTTATTTTACCTTTGCTGCGGGCTAAAATAGTGAGCACATATTTGCTGGAGATCAGGTGACATCTTTAACTTGTTTCTGTGTCTTCGCCCTGGGCACAAGAAAAGAAAATTACAGGTCAGAGCTTGTACAGCAACTGCAGAGAGCCCAGGGGTCCTGCCTTTGAGCTTCTAATGCCCTCTGTCCTCCCTGTAAGAACATTAACTCTGGCACTGATAGGAAGCTGCAGTCATGAGTTTAATTTCCATTTTGTTTAAGGATCACATAAACCTGAGGGCACAGGGGAAACAACAGTGGCATCTATATAAACTTTAACAAGCTAATCATCAAGCTGGATTGACAGCGTAATATGAATAGATGGGAGAATGTTGATGCTTTACCTCTGGCATTTACCTCTGTGTAGGCTTCCTAACTTATTCAGCCTTAGTGTATTGAGTTAGGGGACCTCCTGTTCTTAGAAACTAACAACAGATTTGGAAATTCAACAGAAATCTGGAAGGAATGGCTATGAATGATGGTGAATAATTAGAGACCTCTGAGCTTTTTTTGCTTTGAATTTGTTTTCAAAGGGTTTTTGAAGTTACAACTTATGTTGCTGTAAACATCACTGTCACTTTTGGGGTCTTTCATTAGCATTTCTATTTGTTAATCTCCCTGCAAATTCAAATGCAAGTTCCCGAGCTTTGTGTTGTATGATGCTTTCTTGTAGTCTCTGGGCACAACTAAGTTAACTATCCCCAAACTCTAAAGAACAGAAGACATGTCTTTTCCCCAACCTATGCTGTTGGTATTCTTTTTCTCTTGCATTGCCATATGTGTGGTGAAATGTTTGCAATTGTTTCTAAAGCTTCTTCACATGGTAAAATAGCCAAATCGTTGAGCTGTGGTTAGGGCTTATGGAAAATGTGATCTGATAACAGGGGACAGCATTGTGTTCAAGGCAGGACAGAAAGCTAACTACTCATCTAGCATCTCATGATGAAGCAGGGAGGGGTGATCATCTTGTGTTAATTACTAATCCCTGCAAGAGGATGGGGGATCTGGAAGTGTGATCTGTTAGGAAAGGGGATCCAAGACATCCAGACTGTGTTTTGTTTACATCCACCAGCTTTCACTGCCTTCTCAACATTCACACAGCGGGAATTAATAGTTTTACACAGCTCTAGCAGCAGATACAATTGTCACAAGAAAGAGAATGAAGCAACAGTGTGGAAGAGCTCCTTTAAACAGCTTCTAATTGTCTCTGATATAATTTTCTGTCAGCACATTAATTTGTGGAAGACATAGTGTGCTGGCTCTGCTCATAAAACCCATTACCTACTGTCCTCCTTCCGAGACCATTTGAGGACATTGTTCCTGTACTCCCTTGGTTCTCTATCCTCTTTACATAATGGTCTGTTATTAGATTTTATTGAGTCCTGCTGATGTGAAAGAAACCTAAAGCCTTGCTTCAATGTCACTTGTCAAATGTGCTAACTCATATAAAGACTTCAAGACTGGCATTGAATATTTCCCTTGCCTCTAGGATTAATCTTTTTACAAGGCACAAATGGATCTGGAAAGCATGGTACACAGCATGCTCTTACTCCCTGCACCTCTTTCTACCAAACTTAACACCCCTCTAATATTAGAACTTTTTCTCCATTAAGGCCATCTGTGTTTCACAGTTGCTACACTCAACTGTATGATTTCATCTCTCTGTGTATTACCTAAGCTCTCAACTTTTAGGACCCATAGAGCCCAGCCAAACTCTTTCAGTTTAACTTAAGGTAGGTTTTCAGTGTATTTCCAGAGACCAGGGGAGCTAGTGAGATAAGATGGACTGACACACAACAAAAGTATAGTGCCACTCTGCATTTAACTCTTTGGTATGCTGAAAGCAATAAAGCAATATGCCTGCAAAGGCTAGTCAAAATTCAGTGTTTTTCAGATAGAATGCCATCTCTACCTAAAATATGGTATTTCATGGAGTGCAGCATCATTTGCTGTTGTTCTTGTTGACATTAGTCTTTTCATTTAGAAAACTGAAATCTCTGAACCTGAATTTGCATGGCAAATGAGGCTATATAACTTTTTTTCTTATTGCCTGGTTGCCTGTAGAGCATATTATCCATCAATCAGTAGTCCTCATAACATTCTCCATGAATGGACTGCTGTGATTCCATAATTATGCACAGGTATTTCAATTTGGTTAATTTTATATCTCGGTAGTGATGTCCTGGGATCCTGCTGGCAGACACAGAAACCAAGGAATGTCATGCTTGTATCACTTGTTCACACATTGCTGGGCTGAGCTGGAAAGGATTTATCTTAGCATCTGCCTAGAACACTTGGTCAATAACGGTTCTGCAGAGTGTAAGCATAATCACGTGAAAATAGTCCCTGGCCAAGAGTGGAGTGGTTTATTCTTCATTTTACTGCTCCTCAGAAGATTAAGGCTTTAGCTCCAATCTGTGATTGCTCTGCATCAGCAAAGAATTGTGTGCACACATTGACTATCTACCATGTTGCTTTGCAATGCTGAGATCTGTAAGCATTTGTCTTTTGCCTTGAGACCAAGGCTGATGTTACTTCGTCAGCAATCTTTAATTATTCATTTAAAGAGGAAAGGCTCTTACTAGAAGGACTAAAGAGACCCACACCAGAATAAAGTACTTATTTGAAATGTAAAAGACTGAAAATAACGCTCACAAACTGGAAAGACAAGATCCAACCTCCATATCCTGCTTATCAAATAATAATCTCCACTGTCAGTCTACCAATCGCCCTCAAGTGATACCATCCCTGCAGTAAGAAAGCTGAGCTGAAATTTTTGCATCCCTGGGGAAAAAAAAAAAAAAAAAAAAAAGTTTTGTTTGTATTGTGATGTTTTCACATTGAAAAAATGTCCCTGGAAAAACTTCACCTAGCTCTCCACTCATCTTTCTTACCTGCTCCTCCTTGCGTACCAAGTCCTTTGATATCATCCAGCTGAAGCTACATGTGGACTCTGTGCCCTCCTAAGAATCCAAGCTTCAACTACAGCTGTACTCCAGCATGGTTCATGCACCAGGGAACAAACTCTGCTCTGAGCTACAATCCTTACATACATGAAGAGGTACATGTGAATCATTGTAGCAGCCCTTGGAGCAAACTTTCTCCCCAAACTGCACTTTGCAGGGGAAGAGAGGCCGCACAGGATGGAAGCACTCTCTTTCCCTGGGCTTTGCCATGCTGCAGCGCAGTGCCTCTGCATGCATTCCCTGCCCTGTGACTGCTTTGGGGCACTGTCCATGGCCTTCATGGTTGCAACTGGAGAGAAGCGTCGCAGTTGGAAGCTCAAAACTCTCCGTGAGCCTCAGTGATACCACTCCACCTGTCCCTCATGCTGGGTTATCTTCCGTTCGTTGTCAGCGCTCGTTAAGACTGAGGGCATCTCTCTCGCTCGCTCTGCCTTCTCAACATCTCCGGTTTCACAGGAGCAGAGTCAAACAGAGCCAAGTCCACGCAGGGTCTGGAACGGATCAGCTGGGAATGCCTGTCAGGCCTGTCAGGCAGCCAGTGAGCTCCCTCCCTTCTCGCTGGCTTTCTTTGAGGTTTGTAGCTCTTCTGCTTTCTTGTTGCTATTGCCACCCTCCCCACACTCCCCCTTGCCACACACCAAGCACCCAGACCTTTACTGAGCACTTTACTTAATCCCTAGGATTCTTTATATAGGGATTAATCTTCTCGTCACAGTGGGAGAGCTCGGCGGGAGGGGGTACATTTATCTCTCCTGCTGAGGTCTAGAGTTGCATTGCTGTGATTATTGGTGGTAGCAGTGTGCGTGTGTCTGGGGATCTGTGTTTAGCTTCTTCGTTTCTTAAACAGCACAGGGGCAGCAGCCAGGCACGCTTTCTGGCTGCATTGTTTGCTGCTAGCGAGAGAGATTGTGAGTGGGGAGCAGCATGGCAGAACAAGAAGCCAGTGGCTTGAAAGTCCTTCTTTCCACCCTCCAGGTAAGAACAGCTTGAACTAATGAGAGAGGTGCTTGGGCTTGTTTTCCTCTTTAGTTCACCAGCAGTGACTTGTTGAGCTTAGTTTGTTCTTAGGAGCTCCCTGCTGGCTTGTCTCTAAAAGCATCAGCACACAGAAGTCCTGACCTGCACCTCCCACCCTAAAGCACCTTTATGAAACAAAGTTTCACTATCTGAAGACGAACGCTAGCAGTTACTGCTATGCATCAATCACCAAGCCTTGTCTGCAGTACCTCGGCTTCTGCAATCTTGCTGTGTGCAGCAGGGGAATGAGGGAGGTGTGAGGAATCGGCTGCTTTGCGATGAATGGGACCTGACAGCACTGTCAGTCTGTGAGCGAGGCGAGCTGCAGCAGCGTGCAGCACTGCTCCGAGCGCCGTGGAGAATGAGTAAACAGATCTGCCTGGAGGCTGCAAGTTCCTCCCTGTCAAACTTACCTCACCAAGACCCCGAAGCACGCTCAGGAAAGCAGCAAGACCTCCCTTGGGCTTGGTGAGATGTGGAGTGCTCAGCAAATGTCCCCGAGGAGCAGAGGGGAGGGAAATGTTCCACTCCAGGATCACACTTGTTGGACAGGAGAAGTATCTCTTCCTTTGTCTGTAGGGTATCCCCTTGGTTCTCTTTTCTCCCAGCATGTATGTGCTCCTTGTGGTCTCACAGGAGAGGAGGCATGACCCACTCTATGAAATGAGATGCGTGCTTTGGAAGGGAACCTATGCATTCATGAGATACCGTTATGTCATGAGTGGTGGGTGGGAATTGCTCTGCCAGGACAAGTTGCTTGTGCAGAAAACAGCTTTTAGACGTTTATGGTGAAATTCCAATTGTCTGCATTTCTAAGGTGCCCTCATCTGGGTCAGAGCCCCACGGGGACAAGAGTTTGGGGCAGTGTGCGCTACAGGATCTTTACATCTGGGGCAGCAGCATCCTCTGACAGCTTTATGCATCACCAAAACCTTGCACTACTGCATGCACAGGAGCAGGAAATAAGGAGCACGTTGTGTGAAACAGACTTACCTCCTGGGTCAGCCCAAGAGCTCATGTCCCTCAGCCCTGTGTTTCTGAAGGTTTTTGTGACCCGTCAGAAATGTGTATAGAAGGTCGTAAAACCCCATGGTACGTAATTGGCTCCAGAACCATAGCTGCACACAGTGATCAGCCTTGACATCTTTATCCAAGCTTGTGTAACTGTCAACAACTTTTATTTCTCATAACATTGCCAAACTCTGGTTTGCCTTCCATGGCACCCTGTGGCGATGCGTTCTGCAGAAGAATGGGCACACATGAAAGTTGTTTACTGTTCTTTTTCATGGCAGTGTAACTTGCCTGCCCCTGTTGCTCTTTCAGCATATGTAATGCATGTTTTGCATTAGATCGTGTTTTTGCCACATCCAGGTTACAGTCTGTTACTTTGGATAACTGAGAACTGAGTGTACATCTCCTGTTTCTTCTTATACTTTCTAACACTAACAGTCCTGGTGCTCTGTGCATAATCTGGGGACAGAAAGGGACAAGGCACAGGAACAAATTGGGATCTGTGATTTAATATATGTGATTCATTAACAAAGCTGCATGGAAGAGGATGAACCTAGAACCAAGTGAAAGAGTTAGCAAAACTGCAAGGGTATTGGCAAAAACACAAGGCTGCTGAGCGTTCAACCACAGCATTACAAAATCTAACCTTAGTACAGCAACCTTTTTTCCAAAAAATTCATATTCACTTAAAGAAGAGCGACGGGCTTTCTCTCATTTGTTCTGATTCCTCTCCTCCTCTCTTACCTTCAGCCAAAACTTTATCAGTGAATCTCTCCAACGCTGTCACCTGTCCCAGGTACACAAACTCAGAGATAAAACGGACCTTTGCTAGTCACAGTCTGGAAGTGCTGTCCTGGGAAATAATGACTTTTGTTGACATTTGCATTTGCTGATATGATCTCTCCACGCTTTTCATTTTCTCCAACAGCTGTCCAAAACACAGTGGCTTTGTTTTTGTGTCCTGCCAAATTGCCAGTGCTATTTCATATTATTTTATTGGGCATGAAGAACATATCTGCTGAGTACAGCAGGATGTTCTGCAGGACAGTATTACTGTGTATTTTCCCTTTGTTTTATCGCGTAAGTCTCGTTTGTTTACAGAAAGCTTTCAGCTGGAGCATGAGGGAACATTCACCCACCAAGCTGCTCTTTACAGACCTCAGAACAAAACCAGCCTTGTTCCTTCAGTCACACACTGACAACTAGTTTTCTATCTTACTTCCAAGCACTGGCATGGATCATTCTTCCCAATCTGAGGAATGTATCCACCTGAGAAATGCTCTATCACCTTCAGCTGAGAGAGCAGTCCAGCTTATCTCCTCCTGGCACAGACTCCAGGTCTCACAACCTGGCTTTGGTAAGAATGGTCTCGCGCAGACCAAAACTCTTAGAACTGTTAACACTGTGCACTTTGTCACAGAATTCCTGCTCCAGTCAAAAGAAAAAGAGAAGAAAAGCATTTGGTTTTATGAGTTCTTCAGAACTGTTAACAGAGCAAAAAGGGAACATGATCCTCCAATGACAGCAGAAACTCATGGAGCATGACTCGTTACAGATGTTCTGAAAAGTGACAAGGTGAAAAGCAAAAAACTGCTTTTAAAGCGCGGCTGCATTTTGTCACTGAAATGTCACTGCAGGGAAGACGTGACATTTCAGATCCCTAGGTAAGAAGTGCTTCACTGCTTACAAGGTACAGCTTTCAAATGTGAGTTTCAGGTTTAAGAAAAACCTCTCCCTTTTTCACAGGTTTTGTATCAGTATTGCAGTGCCAAACCATTAGGTACTTTCTGTTATTTCTTATTTTGCTTTTAACCCTGATACTTTCTTCTTTGGTCTCTCTTCTTGACTCTCCCTATCCCACCTGCTCCTACAATTATCCCATTCGTCTCTCATCCTGTTCCCATCTCTGCATCACAGTAATGTCTTTGCATCGAGCTCTGCTCTGTCTTTCTTAGCCAGTCCAGTAACCTACACCAAGGCTGGGCTGGTTACTACTCTTCACTCTACTCTCCAGTCAGACCGTGCTAAAAATCAGCATCGTCTCCACGTACAGCTTATGTTCAGGGGAAAAACTCTGATGTTTTGCAGGCAGCCTCCTTAAAACTAAATCCCAGACAGATTTGGGTTTAGATCCCCTATTTATTTTAATGCCTAAAGGAGGTATGTGGGCATTGATTAAAAAAAAACAAAACTATCAGTGGTTAAGTGGAGCAATAGAAAATGCAGCATCTTTTGTTGCATCCCAGATTATTGAATCATTTGTGATTTTAGAGCATCCGTGTTCATACTGCTGGTTATCCCAGCTTCATCTCACTCCATCCTCCAGATGCATGCTAAGTAAGCAACATTTTGATTCTTCCTCTGCTTTCTCCCTGCTCTTTTCCTTGCTTGCCAGGCCGAGATATGAGCCTGCCTTGGTTACTCCTGAGAACATCTCCTTATTGCATGGCAGTGTGCACTGTGTTGCCTGAGGAGTCCCAGATTTCCTGTTGGCTCTCAGCACAGTGTTCACATGTTTCCCAAAGCCACACTGTCTGCGTGCATATTCCACTAAGCTGGCAACCCCTGGGGCTGTTGGCAGATCTTTGGCTCATACTAAACCCTACTGTGCTGGACTGCAAAGGTTTCTGAATGTTATGGTTCAAAAGGAAAGAGGTGAAAATCTTATGTATCCACGAGGATGTGATCTGTGTAAAGGGATTCCTGTCTGAATGACTGTGGTGCCCAGCAGGGAAGAGATGCAGGATTCACTGTTTGCTAACTTGAACCTTTCTGTTCCATTGCGCTGCTTCTCCCGAGCTGTTTTGCTGGCTGGCTGACAAGGCAGTTCTATTGTTATCCTAAAGTCAAGTGGGAAGATATCTGTGCTGCTCCAGTGACAATGAATATAAATGCATTTTGCAAAATGCTTTTGTCTCCTCTGCATCCTTGCACTTATACCGTCAGCAGAGCAGCTGAGATTCCTGGGACTGAGCAAAATGGATGTAAAACACCAGGAACTTCTCAGCAAGCAGAACACCTGCTGGTTTGCACAGGAGGTGGGAGAGTTTGGAGTTTGGTTCTGTATTTTTGGGAGGCAGCTTGGCATGCCAGGGGTTAGTTGAATACTCTTACAGGGAAGAAAACTCAGCTCAAAACCAGATGGTCATTTTCATGTGGTTCATTAACTGTGTTTTATTGAGATTGTTATACCTAAAGTAAACAGCAGTGGATTTAGTGTTCTCCTATTCCTTACAAAAAATATTCTATCTTTGGAGCAGAAAAAGCAGTGCAGTTAGATCAGTGAAGCACTTGGATATGGTGTTCCAAGGAAAATCCATCATAGGGAAACACTGGATGTTCTGTCAGTACTCTCCTGTCTCTAATGCCAAAGTAGCATTGTATGGGAATTGCTAAGTCATGGTCTGAGCCAATGATTGAGCGCCTGGTGGAGGGACACAGCCAGCCCTGGGAGCACAGGTGAAAGCGATTCCTGGTTCCACCCCTCCCTAAGCCTCATTTAAGGGCTGGCTGCCACAAAGGAAGGGTCTCTATCTGCAGGTCCTTCCTTTTGGAGTATTTGGTGAGTCCTCCTCCTTGGGATGGGTAAGCAAATCCTTTTTTCTTTAACTGCGTTGTGACCATCCCCCTTTTTTTCGGGCAATTGAGAACTGGTTATCTGCTATTGCTTTTGCATAAAGACATAGGTTGCATATGCTCATTTTTTAAAGAAGAAATACTCTTCTGCAGGCAATTCTACAGAGGTTCTCTAGATCAGCATCACAGCTTTCAGAGTCACTGCTTGTTCTTTTTGCCTCAGCTATCACATTGTCTCTGTCTAAGGAGAACCTAAAGGTAATTCAGAGCATTTTCTGGCTCACCACCGTGGGGCACTGCTAAGCAGGAGGAGCCCTTGCACCATCAAGAGAGAAAGGAGGCAACATCTGGGCATCAACCCCAAATTCCTACAAGGCCATGGAAGACATATCAACGTTTGGCATCCTTGTGAGTCAGTGCAGAACGCTGAAAGCCCTCAGAGGCAGCTGAGGCACGTTTTGGGCTTTGCTGAAACCCTTCCACCAGCGGAGCTCAGACCAAGCTTTTGTTCTGTTCTCAGGCTGGCTGCAGCTGTTTCTCTGAGCATGCTGCCAGCTCCTCTAACAGTGCTTTCAGTTGGGCTCTTCAGAGTCCCTGTGACTGCGTTAATGAAAATGTAGGACCTTGAGGTGTAAGATCTACCCAGAGGCTGATCAGAGCACCAATAGCTGCAGCTGGGATGAGCAGGAAAGTGCATTGTATTCTGGCCCCAGAAATCTGAACAGGACTTCCTCTGCCAAGGAAGAAAAGTCAGCTTCAGTCTGTCCTTTCCTGGAGACCCTCTGGCTCTCTTGCTGTAGAAATGCAAATGTGGTGGGATAGTTTTGTCACTAAATCACTTGAATGCGGGGCTGAAGAAGTGGGTTACATCCCAATGCATCTGGCTTAATCACGTGTTAAGTTGCTAATAATCCCACTGTGCCTCCCATTGGTGTTAGAGAAGATCAGGCAATTAATAGTTTGGGGGGAGAAAAAAAAAAAAGTGAAGTTTTGCTGAAATAATGATTCAAACAGAAGTGAATCAATAATTCTGTTTCAGTATGGGGCTTGGGTTGAGCACAATAAATAATGTACAGA